ACGGAGGCGCTGTCAAGCATCTCAAAAGATGAATTTAGACAATGTTTTGAAAAATGGAATAAAAGACTAGACAAGTGTATTAGTGTAAGTGGAGAGTACTTTGAAGGGGATTGAAGGTTTGTGCTTAAAATTTGAATAAATAAGTTTAAAAAAAAATAAGTTCCGTTTCTTTTGGGTACCCCCTCGTATATGGAAAGACCAACAAGAGCAAGAAATGAGGAGTATAAAGAAGCAAGAAGGAAAGCAGACAGGATTTGCAGGAAAAACAAACGGACCTTTCTAAATGAGCAATTACTGCAAATGGAAGAAGACTTAAAAAATAACAAAACATTGCCTTTGGTGAAATTAAATATATGAAAGAAGGTTTCAAACCAAAAACAGAATTTATCTGAGACAAAAAAGGGCTTCTAATAAATGATAAAACAGAGATTATGAATAGATGGAAAGAATATTTTGAACAATTATTAAATCAAACCCCACCAATGGTATCTCCACCTTATCGTGCTGGTGGGGTTTGAGAGCTGCTGAGACCCTGAGAGCTATGCCGGTGGTAGCATAGCTACTGGTAGGGCCACCCATGCCAATTAATACCCAGGAAAATCAAAACTATGATGTATAAAGTACTTATAAGATCGGTGCTATCTTATGCCTCTGAGACCTGGCTACTGTCAGTATCAGATGAAAGACTGTTAAGTATATTTGAAAGGAGGATCTTGAGATATATCTTTGGACCAGTGGAAGAAAATGGAATATGGAGGAAGAGGTATAACCATGAGCTATACAAACTATTTAATGAACCAGACATTATTGGATTTATAAAGGTGAAAAGGCTTGAATGGGCTGGACACATAATACCTGCCAGCAAGAATAGAACCATTAAGAAAATGCTTAATACTAAACCAGAAGGAAATAGGAGAGTGGGAAGACCAAGATTAAGATGGGAAGAATGGCAGGACATAAGAATTTTGGGCATAAAGAACTGGAGGAATGTAGCATCGAATGGAGAAGAATGGCGAGCAATCCTGAGGAAGGCCAGGGCTCACAAAGGGCTGTCGTGCCAGTGATGATGATGATGATGATGATGATTAAATCTAAATCAGAATATGGAAGATAACGAGGATAATGGAGAAGGGGAAGAGGAAGAGATGATAGAGCCTCCAACAAAGGAAGAAGTGGAAGAAGCATTAAAGGAACAAAAACTAAATAAAGCACCAGGAGGAGACAACATACCAGCAGAATTATTGAAGCAGGAGAACAAGAAGGAATAATAGCACTCCACAGAATTATAAATAAAGTGTGGGAAGAAGAAAAGATACCAGAAGATTGGGGAAAGATCATTATATGTCCCATATTTAAAAAAAGGGGATAAATTAACATGTAGTAACTATAGAGGTATATCATTACTACCAACAGCATATAAAATTTTAACAAGGATACTAAAAAAAGAGACTGGATCCATATACAGAAAAAATAATAGGAGAATATCAATCAGGATTTCGACCCAATAGGTAAACAATAGACAATTTATTTACCCTGAGACAAGTAACGGAGAAATTCTGGGAATTTAATACAGATATTTACCTATGCTTCATAGATTTTAAGCAAGCATATGATACAATAATAAGGAAGAAATTAAGGATAATTATGTCCACGTTTGGTATTCCAACAAAACTAAATAGAATAATTAAGTTAAACATGACAGAAACAATCAATCAAGTTAAAATCCAGAATAAGTTAATGAAATGCTTTAAGACAAATCAGGGATTAAAACAGGGAGATAGTTTGGCACCTTCACTATTTAATTTGGTATTGGAATATATAGTAAGGAAATGTAATGTAGACACAAGGAACACAAAAGCGTATAAACAAACGCAAATAATGGCGTATGCAGATGATATTATTATAGTATTGAGATCTCTAGGAGCAATGAAGGAGACATATAGAGAAATAAAAACCATAGCAAAAACAACTGGTTTAGAGGTGAATGTAAATAAAACCAAATGCTGATACAATCTAGAAGGAATCCAAGGCAAACTGGAGAAATTAACATGGAAGTGGATGGGATAGAAATAGTTGAAGACTTCATATATTTAGGATCAAAATTCCACAAAGATGGAGAGGAAAATCATGAAATAACAAGCAGAATAAAACTGGCGAATAATGCATATTTCTCACTACTATCAGTTTTTAGACCAAAGGATATATGCCGAGCGATTAAAACAAAAATATATAAAACAATGATAAGACCAGTGCTTTATTATGTATGTGAGGGTTGGATGCTAAACAAGAAAGAGGAATCAGTCATCAATTCATTTGAGAGGAAAATCCTAAGACGAATTTATGGACCAATAAAAGAGAATGGGCTATGGAGAATAAGATATAATAAAGAGTTATACAAATTATATAAGGAGCCAGAGATCTCAGTGACGATAAAGCTAAAAAGATTTCAATGGGCTGGGCATGTACAGAGAATGGATAAGGAGCGTATCTCAAAGAAAATATTATACAGTACAATAGGCGGCAGGAGACATGCTGGGAAACCAAGAAATAGATGGATTGATGGGGCAGAAGATGCGAAGAAGTGAATGGGTGTAAGGAACAGGAAGAGAGCAGCACAGGATAGAGAGGAATGGAGGGGCTTGATAAGGGAGGCCAAGGCCCGACATGGGGCTGTTGCACCATAGAAGAAGAAGAAGCAACATGTGATTTTAACGTGCATCAAAACAGTGTAGCAGTTTGGAAGCAATGAAACACCTGAAGATGGCTATCTATGGCCGAAACATGTTGTGTTAAGTGCTAAATGGTGAATATTTTAATAACTGTTGCATTATTGATGGACTGTGATACATAATGCCTAAATATTCATTATTCTGAGTGTAAATACATTTTAAACTCTGTGACTGCAGCAGGTAACTGAAAACCTTCAGGTTCTGGGCTTCTGATAACCTCATAATTGCACTAATTATGTGAAAATTTATGTGATGGATGTACCAAAAGCTCATATGAAAAATCCTGAATGGCAGCGTTCAGCAACTCTCCACTCCATACCACTGTCACACATATACAGCCAAAACAGTGGCATGCAGTACTGTTTTTGGTAAGGAAAGCAAGTTGCATTGTTAAAATAATGTGAGTCTGAGAGTTCTCATGTCGTTTCAATGCTTTATGAAGGTTGTTGATATCACCAAACCCAGTCTTGTTCCATACATTTTTTTCATTGAGAAACAATAGCCATGGCCAACAAACCAATTTCCCTACATTATGGCAACCCGATAGCCACTCTGTTTTAGAACACTGTTCCAAATTGAATTTCCTCACACATAATTTGGTTTGTGCTTTAAGTTCTGGCAACTTGCATGTCAGTCATCCTCTTTCTATAATTATTTTCTTTTCAGAATAGTCCCTGCTATTAAACCCCCATTTTAAACTGAGACAAAAGATGTGTTTTCAAGGTGATGAGTAATAAAAATTACCACCTTCTAGGATGTGACACCATACAGTTTGTCCTGTTTCCTTCCTCCTATATTTCCTCCCCCCCCCCACCCATACTTGAGAATACGGCCTTTTCAGAGCATTTTTTCCCCACTGGCTCACTTACAGTTAAGGTTCCAACCGTCCTTTCACTCACTATGTTACATACCACGCCCTCACTCAGATCATGCCTTCTACCTCAAGGTTCCCAAGACACTGGTACCGACACACCACACCACATGGTGTCATATCTCAGAAGACTCTTAAACTCAATACTGACTGCTGTGAATCTTGAATCTTATCAAGGCAACAGGAATTTGAATTCAGTGAAGAAACATATTCCATATTTAAGGTCTGCTTTTTCTTACAAGGGAGAATTAAAAATTATATTCATGATCAAGTACTATGTGGTTTGCTTTGTATGGACTGAAAACACAGAAAGAATAAACACCATGAATTTTATGTTTCTGGACATTATCTATTGTCCTGCTTTTTTTTAAAACACAATGTTTCAGAGACTGAATTCTTTTGATTGGGCCCACCTAAGTAGGTTTTACCTGAAGACAGAAACAGAATCCAGTCTCCGAAACACTGTACTTTAAATAAAAACAGGATGATGGATAATGTCCAGAACCATAATATTTGTATTAATGTACCATCTTCACAAACTTTTGGATCTTATTTACCTTGAACTTTACTTGCAAGTCAGTGACGCAGTGTTATAAATATCTAAAAACTATAACATAAAACGAATAAAACTTCAGCACATACTTTTACGGAAACTTGAACGTACAATTAACATCCCAGTTACCAGTAAGTGAAAAACACAACACAGCAAAAAGAGTAACACATTTGCCATTCAAAAACCAATAGACTGAACCTGATATTCAGTCAGTTGTTACAAGCAATTCTTTTCATTGCATTTTGATTTGTGTACATTACAAACTGGACAACACACTATTCAGCCCATCAAGATCAAAACACTGGTATATATATTCACCTTTATTGTTAGGAATGGGATTTTAAATCCCCTTTTGTACTACTGGGTTGGCTGGATTTAAACTTGCAGAGGGAACAGTTTTTCATTCAGGAAACTCCCACTGCTTATGGGGCCATATCTTAACAATATGATGAAATGCACTGTGCCGTTACCTACAGTAAGTAGCAAATAGGACACTGCAAATATAGAGCGAGAGATAAAATTACAGAAACAACTGGACTTCCAGTACCATTCTGTGAGAACAAACAGAACACTGTGGAATCTTACAGACAGTCACTTGTCTTGCTAAGCAATACAAAATCACCCTTCATTCTGCAGTATTGTCTCAGCCACAATGGATGGATCTCTGCTCCATGTCTGAAAGTCAGTACTGTCCTAGCTTTAGGAGTGCAGTTAAGTTTCACTCAATGGTTTCATTCCAGATTGTGCCATTTTATTATGACAAACTGTCTGTTATGCTCTTTTGAAGGTACTGGCACTCAGCCACACAGAATTCCACCCCCACTCAGAAAGCAATGCTCCTGTCACCAGTTTGGTGTTAACATATGTGGTACAACACCATCTCCATACAGTAGCCATGTAATCTGGTACAAAGTTACTAACGCTGCACAGAAGCCCACTGCCTCTGTCATCAGGGTCAGAAATGATGGTGACTTTGAACCAGACTATATGGCATCACATCCTAAAAACTGTAATCCTCATACGTATTGAACTTATCGTGTTAAATCAATATTCAAGGAACACAAAATATTGGGCAAGTAATCTAAAATCAAAAAGAAGACAGAGTGAGTTACACTGAACTCTTTCTTACCATGCCTTATCACAGAAAGAGAAAATCTGTAACACAGTACGGAAATCTTGCTGTACTTCATAATTGCACATTACTCCATATCAGAATACCAAAATATTATGGGTACAGCATTAACATACACTGTCTCAGCAGTTCATACTTTCACCACCAATAAAATGACCCCATCCCAAGTTAAAATTTGGCTGCTAACCCCATAATCTCAACTGATTTAAAATCCCTTATTCCAGGATGATGACTAATTATAATAATACATCTCCATTTCCTGAAAAATGTGAATCAAAAGGAGATCTGTTCAGTATTGCTGAGCCTTATGCAACACAAGACACACCTGTTACAGCAACGTATCCAATTTACACTCATCCAGGTACATATTTCAGTTTCGGTATACAAGCCTTCCAGGAAGGAATTCTGCAACTTCCAGCACCCTGGACTAAAAACTGAATTTGCCTCGTACCTTGAAAAAGCCAAGGGCATTTCGATTGTGAATAAGAGAACCAATACCTATGTAGTTCTCAAGGACAATAGGCTTATGTTCTATATTGCAACAAGGGGCTGTTTTATTTGTTGTCTGTGCTTTCTCCACTGCCAAAACAATGTTTTGTGCAAAGTCATCTATGTTGTACATTTCACTGATGGCACTAGTGGAGTCTGAAATGAAACAAATTACAGTCACATGTAACCATTACACTTATAAGCATACCCACAGCACAGCATTATTAGCAAGACTATAATGCTACAGTTTGTTCCACAGTAAACATTCTTTGTACTCTGGCATTATGAGTTTCCTTTCAGAAAGTATGTACATTTAATAAAGCTCTAAAATTGGTTACCATCATTGCTACCATTTCACAGGTTACCAGTCATCACATTTCAGTAGTGGCACTACTGCCAATGACACCATGAATTCTTGTGTCTGCCATTTTACCATAATTGGGTGTAGGATTACACGTTTGGGATGACCCCCAGTAACATAACATTCATACATAATCAGTCAGAATCAGTTTCAAAGATGAAACAAATGTGCACAGGTAGACTGAACTTATGTGCATCCATTGTGCGCATTCTACGCACATTGGTTTACAGCAGATATGAACATAAACTTTCACATTTGGATAACTTGTCCAGTTTCCATAGCCCTCTACATTGTTTTTGTCTGTTTTCCCAGTTTCACTTACCACTCGAACTTATTCCCCAAGATAGTGGCCTCCGTAGTCTAGAGGTAACGTTCCCACCTCATGACTCGTAGTACGTGGGTTCGAACCTGGCGGAGGTCGTGGAATTTTTAAGG